CCATCCAACCGTTTATGGACACTTAGGTTGTTTTCTTTTCTTGGCTATTAGAATAATGCTGCAATAAACATTGCTCTTCACTTTTTAAATATATTTTCATTTTAAAAAACTCATTCAGGTAAGCACGTGGAACAAAAGCTGAGTAGCACAATGCACCACTCTGCGACAAACCCAGTAACATTTGGTGACGATCCTACCAGACTTTTCCACCACTGCCATCCTCACACAGTTATTTTTAGTTTCCCTTTTTCTAAGTAACTGTTTTTTTATAGGCTTTAAAACAATCTGGACGTATTCATCTCTCGAGCCTGTATTTTCATTGCTTATAAAAAGTGGATGGCGTGCATAGTACGTCTCTTTGATCAAACATTTAAGAAGTTAGTGCGTCTGGTACACAAAAAGTAAGTTGTCCTTTCTACTCACCACCCTTCCTCCTTTCTACTTTCCTTCAATATTGATGTACTCCTTGAACAAATGTTTTTTAAGCACCTGCTGTATGCCCAGCCCTGCAATAGGCACCAAGCTCACAAGGATGGGGAAGACAGCCATGGATCCTGCAGTCATGGTACTTATGCAGAGAGAGAGAGAGAGGGAGAGAGAGAGAGAGAGAGAGAGAGACAGAGAGATACTGTTAGAGAGAGAGAGAGACTGTTAGAGAGAGACAGAGAGAGAGAGACTATTAGAGAGAGAGAAAGACTGTTAGAGAGAGAGAGACTGTTAGAGAGAGAGACTGTTAGGGAGAGACTGTTAGAGAGAGAGACTGTTAGAGAGAGAGAGACTGTGAGAGAGAGAGACTTAGAGAGAGAGACTGAGAGAGAGAGAATGTTAGAGAGAGAGACTGTGAGAGAGACTGTTAGAGAGAGAGACTGTGAGAGAGACTGTGAGAGAGAGAGAGAGACTGTTGAGAGAGAGAAACTGTGAGAGAGAGAGAATGTTAGAGAGAGAAAGAGACTGTAAGAGAAAGAGAATGTTAGAGAGAGACTGTTAGAGAGAGAGAGAGACTGTTAGAGAGAGAGACTTAGAGAGAGAGACTGTGAGAGAGAGAATGTTAGAGAGAGAGAGACTGTTAGAGAGAGAGACTATTAGAGAGAGAGAGACTTTTAGAGAGAGAGAGACTGTGAGAGAGACTGTTAGAGAGACTGTAAGAGAGAGAGAGACTGTTAGAGAAAGACTGTGAGAGAGAGACTATTAGAGAGAGAGACTTTTAGAGAGAGAGAGACTGTGAGAGAGACTGTTAGAGAGACTGTAAGAGAGAGAGAGACTGTTAAAGACTGTGAGAGAGAGACTATTAGAGAGAGAGACTTTTAGAGAGAGAGAGACTGTGAGAGAGAGAGACTGTAAGAGAGAGAGACTGTTAGAGAGAGAGAGACTGTGAGAGAGAGAGAATGTTAGAGAGAGAAAGAGACTGTAAGAGAAAGAGAATGTTAGAGAGAGACTGTTAGAGAGAGAGAGAGACTGTTAGAGAGAGAGACTTAGAGAGAGAGACTGTGAGAGAGAGAGAATGTTAGAGAGAGAAAGAGACTGTAAGAGAAAGAGAATGTTAGAGAGAGACTGTTAGAGAGAGAGAGAGACTGTTAGAGAGAGAGACTTAGAGAGAGAGACTGTGAGAGAGAGAATGTTAGAGAGAGAGAGACTGTTAGAGAGAGAGACTATTAGAGAGAGAGACTTTTAGAGAGAGAGAGACTGTGAGAGAGACTGTTAGAGAGACTGTAAGAGAGAGAGAGACTGTTAGAGAAAGACTGTGAGAGAGAGACTATTAGAGAGAGAGACTTTTAGAGAGAGAGAGACTGTGAGAGAGAGAGACTGTGAGAGAGAGAGACTGTTAGAGAGAGAGAGACTGTGAGAGAGAGAGAATGTTAGAGAGAAAGAGACTGTGAGAGAGAGAGAGAATGTTAGAGAGAGAGAGAGACTGTTAGAGAGAGACTATTAGAGAGAGAGACTTTTAGAGAGAGAGAGACTGTGAGAGAGACTGTGAGAGAGACTATTAGAGAGAGAGACTGTGAGAGAGAGACTGTGAGAGAGAGAGAGACTGTTAGAGAGAGACTGTGAGAGAGAGACTATTAGAGAGAGAGACTTTTAGAGAGAGAGAGACTTTTAGAGAGAGAGAGACTGTGAGAGAGAGAGACTGTGAGAGAGAGAGACTGTGAGAGAGAGAGAATGTTAGAGAGAGAGAGAGACTGTGAGAGAGAGACTGTGAGAGAGAGAGAGACTGTGAGAGAGAGAGAGACTGTGAGAGAGAGAATGTTAGAGAGAGAGACTGTGAGAGAGAGAGAGACTGTGAGAGAGAGAGACTGTGAGAGAGAGAGACTGTGAGAGAGAGAGAGACTGTGAGAGAGAGAATGTTAGAGAGAGAGAGAGACTGTGAGAGAGAGACTGTGAGAGAGAGAGAGACTGTGAGAGAGAGAATGTTAGAGAGAGAGACTGTGAGAGAGAGAGAGACTGTGAGAGAGAGAGAGACTGTGAGAGAGAGAATGTTAGAGAGAGAGACTGTGAGAGAGAGAGAGACTGTGAGAGAGAGAGAATGTTAGAGAGAGAGAGACTGTGAGAGAGAGAGAGACTGTGAGAGAGAGACTGTGAGAGAGAGAGACTGTGAGAGAGAGACTGTTAGAGAGAGAGAGAGACTTAGAGAGAGAGAGACTTAGAGAGAGAGACTGTGAGAGAGAGAGAATGTTAGAGAGAGAGAGACTGTTAGAGAGAGAGAGAGAGACTATTAGAGAGAGAGAGAGACTGTTAGAGGGAGGCAGAGAGAGAGAGACTGTTAGAGACAGACTGTTAGAGAGAGAGAGAGAGTGAGACTGTTAGAGAGAGAGAGCTGAGTCTTTCTCATCTACTAGCCCTTCGACCTGTGGCTGTCCTTTCCTCTCCTCGCTGCACTCTCTCCATAGCTTTATCTCCAGCCCACATCTGCTCATGCAGACAAATCCTCTGACTTCCAAACCACCGTGAGCTAGCCATCCCAGGTCCCCACCTCACTGTGAGACAGTGAGCCTTTCCAATGTCAGGAAAGCCTGGTTTAACCAGCAAAAATGCGAGTTATAAAATATTGTTAGAAATACTATGGTGGTTTAAATAATGTCTGCCAAAACTATGTGCTAGAGTCCTAAGCCCCAGGACCTGTGAATGTCACTTTATTTGGAAATAAATTCTTTGAAAATACAGTTAGGCTGGGTGCAGTGGCTCACGCCTGTAATCCCAGCACTTTGGGAGGCCAAGGTTGGTTGCCTGAGTCCAGGAGTTCAAGACAACCCTGGGAAACATAGCAAAACCCCATCTCTACTGAAAATACAAAAAATTAGCTGGGCATGGTGGTGCATATGGTATATGCCTGTAGTCTCAGCTACTCAGAAGGTTGAGTTAGGAGGATCACCTGAGCCTGGGAGGTGGAGGCTGCTGTGGGGCCGAGATCATGTTGCTGCACTGCAGCCAGGGTGGCAGAGACCCCATCTCAAAAAAAGAAGGAAGGGAAGGGAAAGAGGAAGGAGAAGGGAAAGGGGAAGTGGGAGGCAGGAGAGAAACAGAAAGAGAGATAGAAGAAAGAGAGAGAGAAGGAGGGAGGGAGGGAAGGAGGGAAGGAAGGAAGGAAGGAAGGAAGGAAAAAAGAAAGAAAGAGAAAGAAAGAATATATACGTATATATAGTTAAGGGTCTTAAAGTGATACAGACAGCTCTGGATTTAAGGTGGGCACAAAATCTGACTGGTGTCCTCATAAGACAAAGGCCTCAGAAAGCTGGAGAGACACAAGGAAGAAGGTCATGTGAAGACAAAGGCAGAGACTGGAGTGATACTGTCACAAGCCAAAGAGTGCCTGGAGCCACCAGAAGCTGGACGAGAGGACAGCTTCTCCCCTAGAACCTCTGGGGCCAGCACAGCCCTGCCTATACCTTGATTTCAGACCTCTGGCCTCCACAGTGGTGAGAAAATAAATTCCTGTTGTTTTAAGCCACCCAGTTTACGTTAATTTGTGACGGCAGCCCTAGAAAGTTAATACAGATACATACCCATTATTCTCTTTTAAAAAATTGCTCATACAATTTTCAAATGGGGGCCCTGACTCTCATAACTATTAGAGTTATTGATGAACTACTGTTTGATTTTTACCTGTGAAATTAATGGTGTTGATTGTGCATACGTGGAGGAAACATTTTCTTTCTCTCTTGTTTACGCTGTTGCTTGGTGAACTCATTTATCACGGTGAAGGCAAAAATAAACATTAGTCCATCTTAATCCAAAGCCAAATTTGCGAGACATAGAATTAATAAGCTGCTGCTGAAAAAAAAAGGTGCAATCCTTGCTAGTTTTATAGACTGTGATTCTTGTGTTTGTCTAATGTAATTGATCTTCAGCTAAAATCATCTGTTCCAAAGTTACACTCATTTTCAATCCTTCAGTACGTTTGCAAAGCAGCATTCTGCTTCTGTGTCCTGCAGGTAGCTTCTTATTGCCTTTAGCCTTGGCAGAGGTTCTCAGCTGATGCAGTACACAACCTTGGTGGTGGTGAGGCATTTGTGGGGTTTTTTTTTAGTTTTTTGGGGTTTTTTTGTTTTGTTTTGTTTTTTTGACAGAGTTTCGCTCTTGTTGTCTGGGCTGGATTGCAGTCATGCAATCTAGCTCACTGCAACCTCTGCCTCCCAGGTTCAAGCGGTTCTCCTGCCTCAGCCTCCCGAGTAGCTGGGATTACAGGCACCCGCCACCATGCCCAGCTAATTTTTTGTATTTTTAGTAGAGACGGGGTTTCATCATGTTGGCTAGGCTGGTCTCAAACTCCTAATCTCAGGTGATCCATCTGCCTCAGACTTTCAAAGTGCTAGGATTACAGATGCGAGTCACTACACCCAGCCAGCATTTGTTTCTGATCCAGGGGCATACCTACTACTGGCATTCCAAGGGCAGGTGGCAGAACTGTCCCACCCCAAATGTCCATAAAGCAACCCTCTGAAAAATATCACTAAGGATTTCCAATACATTTGTGACGTGCCAAGGTGATGCCACTTATTATCCTCTTTCTGTGACATCAGAACAGAGACAGCACTTCATTCGTCTTTGTAGCCCCAGCAGGATTCTAGCAACAGTGTAGAGGCTCAGTTAGGCTTGATTACTGAAAAAATACCAAGAGCTGTTCTACATAATCGAGTTGAAAGAAAAAAAGAAAAAAAGCTTGGTAAACCAAAAAGATTAGAAAATGTTTATAAGAATGAATTGTCTCTTCTGTCACAGAAATACTCTTTGTAATGCTGGAGGCCCTGGTTTGGTCTTGGGGAAAGGACACCAGACTTGGTATCCTGGTCTAGGGTTCTTGACACGTGCATTTTATCATTATCTTACTAGATCTTAGATTCTTCATCTGGAAAATAGGGGGAATTAGGGCTTGGTCTGCATTAATCTAAGGTCTCTTTCAGCTTCAAAAATTCTACTTCTTTGTCAAATAAAAGTAATATTACCTCAAAATTAGACATCATAGTCCTATTGCCAAGTACAAGTTATTTCTAGATTTTCTACTAATCCTCCAACAACAGTCATTATCTTATTTAATGTCAGAGTCTAGATCGGCCAAACATCCATTTGTAGAAGCTACATTTTAGAAAAAGCGAGTACTAGCTTCAGATTGTAAGCTGTGTGGTCATGTGTTATCCTGGTTTCCATGGGATCATATTTTCCTTTTCAGCCATGGAGGAAGACAGGGAGGATACCAAGAGCTGTTCTACATAATCGAGTTGAAAGAAAATGAGTATAGCACAAAAGCGGAGAGAAGAAGTGGCAAACACGATGAGACATCACTTGGTGAGTGCGTATTAAAAACTTTGGTTTCCATCCTGCTAGCCAACACTGTCGTCTTCTCAGTTTGAACAATTTGATGAAGTAGGCTTCCTTGTTGAAGAGACCCATCTGGCAAGAAACTGAGAGCAGTCTTCAACCAACAGCCAGCAAGGAACTAAGGCCGTCAGTTCAACCACCCACAAGGAACCAAATCTCTTGGCAACATCTGTGTGAGCTTGGAAGTGAATTCTTTCCAGCTGAGCCCTAAGATGACTACAGCCCAGCTGACTTGACTGCAGCTTGTTAGAGATGCTGTAGTAGAGGACCACTAAGCCCTGCCTGGATTCCTGAACCACACAAACTGTGAGATAATACATGTGTTTTAAGCTGCTGAATTTGGGGGTAATTTGTTTCATAGCAATAGATACCTAATATCCTTGATATTGAGAAATCACATATAATTTGTTATCTGCCACCACAGATATCTAAACACCAGTGACCATCTTTTGTTCCTCCCCCTGGTGTTTACTTAATTGCTTAAAACTCCATCTGGTCACCTAGCACCTAGCTCTAAATACCACTCTCCATTAAAACCAACTAGGGCTCTTGGGGAAATAGTTGATTCCAGGATTGGGGCAAAAAAAAGCACAAGCAGAGCCTGAAACATTTTTTGATGCAAGAAAGTAAGGAGTGCTCCCTAAAATCATGAGGCAAGTCAAAAGGGTACAGAAACCAACTTAAAGAGCCCCCACTGGTAAAATATGGAACAACATGAACAAGAAAATAAATAATGATTGTAATAGATTATAACCCATAGAATAAAATAAATAATTAGGAGTTCGTACTTATGTAAATAAACACATGAAAAAATACATGTGTGAGAAGGGACAGCAGAATTTAATTAGTAAATATGGTCAGAATGAGGCAAATAGAAAGTAACTATTAGACAAATTCCACAGTAATCATTATGGATGACATTCTTGCATGACAAAAGACAGTGCGTTTACATAGTCTCAAATTATCTTCTTATATTTATTGCTTATAAAGAGAAAAATAATTTTTTAAAAAGTGGAGAAATCTGTAAGATACCACCTTAACCTAGTGATCAAATTTAGCACCACCTGTGATAAGATGTAACATATCAAGATCATGTATGTCCTGTTATCATTCACTAAGAAGGACATAGCATCACTTTGGCAGTCTTGCCAAAAATGTTTAGCTTCAGTCTATTGATATTTATTTTAAAAATCGGACTGATGCACAATGAGAGTTTTTACTATTATCTTACTCCATTGAGCTCTCTGAGTCTTGGTTTCTTTATCTGGAAAATAAGGGTGTTGGACTGGCTAGTATTCTTCGAAAGTGTTCAAGTCATAGATGATAAAGAAAGACAGAACTGCACAAAACAAAGGAGACTATGGAGACACAACGACATGACATGTTCAATCAGAAAAGGGACATTAGAGGGAAAACTGGCAAAACCCAAATAAGAAAGAAGAATGGGACCACGGGCTGGATGAGTAACCATCATTGTATCAATGTTAATTTCCTACTTTTGATACTTATATTGTCGTTATGTAAAATATTGATACAAGGAGAAGCTGGGGGTAAAAAGTAAAGAGAAAGTCACTACACTTTTTGTAACTTTTCTACAAGTCTAAAGTTATTTTAAAATGAAAAGTTTAATAATAAAGAACATCTGATATTCTAAGAGGACATTCTGGTAGCCTTTCAGTCTCATACCACAAGCAAACAGGTGCAACACCTTTGATGTGGGCTACAAAAGAGTCTCTTCTTGACAGATATTAATCAACCCACGTCAAAGAACAGCCTGCTTTTGAACAACAGGTGGAGCTGGCATTTCTGCTCTATTGACAATTTTTTATCTAAACTCTTAGAAGACATTAGTTCAGTTTTAATTAATCACTTCTAACTTTATAGAATTAAGAGTCTACAGGTTTTAGTCTCGATTCTTCACTTCATTAATGAAAGAAGAAATTGCTCATCTAAACTGTTAGCAAACACGAAAGGCCTCTATAAGTTTACATTGTTTAGTATGATGTACATAGTCAAACCTCAGTTATCTGCAAAAATATTCAGATCATAGCACTGAGCAGACCACTTTATAGATTATTTCTTTTATTCCTTCAATAACATTGTGAGTTAGGCACAGATGAGTCTGCAAACATATATTCGCTAGTAATATCTGGCATCTGAGAAAGAGCTGGGTGGGTTACATTGGGGCCCAGGAAAGGTCTGTGCTGGAGAAGTGACTGAGTTGTCACAACACCCACTATTTGATCTATTCCCTTCTAGTTATGTCTTTTAAATCCATTTACTCTGTCAGCACCGGGGAAGAGGAGTAGGCATGGAAGGAGGAAGGAAGAGACGAAAGAAAGAAAGAAGGAAAAAACATCTCAAATTGCATGAAGAGTCTCAACCTTGTCATAAAAATATAACTTTCAGTTTGATGTGTTTTAAATTAGAATCTAAGTTTCCAGTTGGAGGAGACTCAGGGGGAACATGAAAGACAGTTTTTAAAATGTGAAGGGCTGTTCGGGGAAAGGGGGATTCGAATTGTTGTGTGTGGCCTGAGAAAGAAGAATGGGACCACGGGCTGGAAGTTTACACGGACACATTTTAGCTCATTATAAAGAAACACTTTCTAACCAGGTAGTCCAATTATGGGAGATGCTGCCTCAGGACTTACTGAGCTCTTGGTCCCATGAGTGCTACAGAGGAGGCTGGATGACCAACTCTCAGAGAAGAAGAATAAAAGCCCGTATCGGTACTTAAATTAAATGACTTTGAAAGTCTCTTCTCATCAGCATGCTCTGTGAGGAATTCTGAGCCTTTGTTTTGCCACTGAATCACCCTACTGAGAGAGGTCAGTTTCCAACTCCTTCCCCCCTGGTGTCCTTAGCTCTGGGCTACTTATTATATTGAGTTTAGAGAATCAAACTGAATGGGTATTTGGAGATAAGAGGCTGACTCAGACAACCAGTGCATTGCTGTCAGTTCTTCAGAGCTGAGAGAGACCTGTATGAGATCTAAAATTTGGAAGACTCTTTGTGAACTCTTCCCCTTTTTCTGTAAGTGGGAGGCCATGCAGTATGGTGTGTAAGACGTCAGCTGTGGAGAGCCTGCCTGGGTACAAATCCTGGTTCCCCATCTCCAGGCTATGGCAGTCATTGATGCTGTTCTCTCGAATTATTTCCATATCTTTCCTTCTGGGAAGGGTTGATGTCTTCCCCACACTACCCACCCCTCCCACGCACACACAGAGAAGTGTGACCATGTGACTCATTCTGGCCAGTGAAATAAAAGAGGTAAAGCCAGTATGTGATTTTCAGTCTGGCCCCAAAGTGGGGACAATGTGGAACACAGCTCCCTGCCAACCATAATGGACATGTAGAGTGAGTGAGAAATACATCCTTCTCTTAAGCCACTTAGATTTTAGGAGTGTCATCTCAGCGTAACTTAGCCTACCCTGATTGATACATGGGCTCTGGGCCACTTACTTGACATTGCTAAATCTCAGACTTCTTACACATAAAATGGAATCATAGTAACACCCATCTTCTAGGAGTGCTGTGAGAATCAAGTGAGAGAGTTCATGCATACAGAGTCTTAACACAGTGCCTGGCTTATAAGTAAGTGCTCAATAATGTTATCTACTATGATCACTATACCATAAGCTCCACTGGTTCACAATCGTGTGCCTGGCACTCAGTAGCAATTTGTTGAGGAATCAAAGTAAGTCATTCTTGACAAAGAGCATCAGTGACACCTACCACACTATTGCTAATCTGATGAATGATAGATATTAAGTTGTAATCTTACTCACGGCAGCGTCCTCCTTGAAGCTCCCCCTTTGCTTTCTAAGACATTCCTCCTAGATGTCTGGCCTCTCCTCAATCTCTTTTCCAATTCCCCTTTCTACTCCCTTACTATCAAGGGCATTCTCCAGAGTTATGTCTTTGGCCCTCTTCACATCAGAGGCACTGGAGGGCTCTACAAAATCTTAATGCCCAGGTCCCACCTGCAGGTATCCTGATATAATTAGATGGGGGTGCATCATGGGCATCAGGATATTTAAATCGCCACCCTCTGCCACAAAGTGATCACCCTGTGCAGCCAAAGTGGAGAGTTAATGCCCTGCATCTGAACCACCCACCACAGTGACCACATAAGACAGTTAAGCATTGTGGTGAGTCCAAACTGAGGTGTGCTGTCAGTGTAAAATACGTACCAGGTTTCAAAGACTAGTAGGAAGAAAAGCATGTGAAGTGACTCATTCTTAATTTTCACACTGAGCACATGTTGAAACAATGATACTTTGGATATATTGGCTGAAATACATTATTCAAATTAATTTTACCTGTTTCTACCTTCTGATATGGTTATCTGGAAATTTTAAATGACATGTGTGGCTTATATGTCTAGTGGACAGAGCTGCTTTTGACACTCCTGCTGAGTAGTGCCATCTTTCTCATGGCTTCTACTACTGTACCTTATGATCCACAAATATGTTTCTCCAGCACCTACTCCTTTTTGAACTCCAAGCTCACGCATCCAACCCAAACATGTCTTCCACAAAATTGGCTCTTCCTCCTCTGGTGCTGCTTGTGTAGCATCAACATCTACTGGTCCACAAGACAAAAGCCTGGAATTCCTTCCACTTCTCCACATCTTCCCCCCGCCATATGGACAACCTCCTGTCCATTCTACTTCCTAAATATCTCTCAAAACTGCATTGCTCTTCATTCCCACTGTGTCTGTCCTCACTGACTTTCAGTGGTCTATCTTCTCTCTAATTTACTGTAGGCATGTAGCAATGGATGGATCATTTGAAAATGCAAATCTCCTCTGTTTAAAAATGCTTTCATGGCACCAATGGATTTGAGTATAAAATCCAAAGTCCTAACAAAAGTCCTAACAATGTCCATCAGGCCTTTCCTGATAAGGTACTTAACTGTCTCTCCCCCGTTCCCACCTGAGAAATGGGGGCTGCCCTGCTCCTCCAGCAACATTGAACTGCCGATTCCTCCAGTGCACCCGCTCTCTCAGGACCCTGGATCTTTGCACAAACTGTGCTCTCTTCCTGCAAGGCTCTTCCTGTTCCCCTGCACCTACATAACACACACACAATCTCTCTCTCTTTCTCTCCCTCCCTCCCTCCCTCCCTCTCTTTCTCTCTCTCTCTCTCTCTCTCTCAATGGAGTCTCACTCTGTTGCCCAGGCTGGAGTGCAGTGGCATGATCTTGGCTCTCTGCACCTCCACCTCCTGGTTTCAAGTGATTCTTGTGCCTCAGCCTCCCCAAGTAGCTGGGACTACAAGTGCATGCCACCATGCCTAGTTAATTTGTAAATTTTTTGCAGAGACGGGGTTTCACCATGTTGGCCAGGCTGGTCTCAAACTCCTAACCTCAAGTGATCCTCCTAACCTGTCTCTGCCTCCCAAAGTGCTGGGATTATAGGCATGAGCCACTGTGCCCAGCCTTATAACTTTCATCATTCAGGTCTCCCAGCTTGCTCTCTGTGAAAACATCTCCAGGCTAAAGGAGAAATTTTCTCACCCCACTCCAAGTTCTCATACCATATGCTTGTTGTCTCCTGACACTATATACCTCAATGCCCAGCATTGACATTACGTGTGTGTGTGTGCGCGCGTGCGCATGTGTGTTTGTGTATGTTTTAAGAGATAGGAGTCTTGCTCTGTCACTCAAGCCGGAAAGCAATGGTACAATCATAGCTCTCTGCAGCCTCCAATTCTGGGGCTCAAGCAATACTTCCACGTCTGCCTCCAGAGTAGCTGGAACGACAAGTGCGTGACATCACACCGGGCTTTTCATTGTCTTTTTCCTTTGTCTACTCCCTCTGGACCAAAAGGCATTTAAAGGCAGTAGCCATTCCTGACTTGCCTTTGCATCCCCAGTGCCTCACCCAGTACCAGACACTGCATAATAGTAACAACAGCAACAATGATAACAATGTTAATAATAGCAGCAGGGATGGAGCAGTTGCTACATGTCAGAAACTACTCCCTGCTTCACATGGATTGCCTCTTTTAATAACTTTATAGAAGTTTATTGAGATAATCAAATTTGAGTATGGCCCAGGACTATGCTAAACACCACAAGAAACACTAAGGAGCGGATTCTCTAATCTAAAGGAATTGGAAATATCATCAAGCAACAAAAATAGTGCACGATTCTTTCAGGCAAAACTACCACCCAAAGAAAGAAGTTACATTCAAATAACTTCTAATTTACTAAAGGAAGAGTTGTTCTTGCCATCGAAAAATAAAAATATATCAGTAGGAATTATAATCATTATGAACAGTTGAGAAGCCTGAAATGAGAAAAAAATTCCAACGATTCAGTGAAACTAACACTTACATGTAGTATGACATGGCTTTGTTCACCAAAACATTGGCTGTGGAGTGTTTCTATCCAATCTTAAATAATTCCTGTTATTTATCAACTCAACAAATCTATGTCATATTTACGATACAACACGCCCACGAATAGGTTTCCTGTATACACACACACACATCTATGTGTATATATGTGAAAATACACAGGAGCTAGAAAAGAAACATCTGAAAGATTTAAAACAACAAAGCTAAACAAAGTATCTAGGCCCATTAGAACCTGAGAGTAGGAAGAGATTCGTGTGGATCACTGTAACCTGGGAGCCGTCACAGGTAACAAGATTTAAAGAGGAAACTGTGGGAGGCTGAATACACAGAAGATAGAAAGAAGGGCTTTCCGCCAGCAGAAATGGCGTGAGCAAAAGTTTGGGTGAACTTGTTCAGAGAACATGCCCCTCTGTTGAGTCAGATTCTTACCCATGTCTTTAGAGACACAAAGGGCTGCTTTCTTCATTTCTCCTGATTCATGTCTGTGCTTTTGTGTCACTTGTGATGCTGAGTGAAAGAACGTGTCTCTCTGATGTGTGCTACTCCTTCCCAAGGCGACAGCTCTGTCAGAGATAAAAATAAGAAAGTCTCCTTTTTTATCTCCTTTGAGTCGCTAACAGGCTGCTTTCCAGACCACATTCCAGTCTACAGTTGGTTAGCAACTGTGTGCACTGGTTCCACCTGGGCATATAAATTACTCTCTCCACTCAAAGTGCTTTGTAGAGCACAAGAATTTATCGTGTGGAGAGGTAACGATGGTCTGTTACAGTTTTATTGGTGTCCGTGGAATAATCCTAAACTTAGAGTAAATTTTAGCACACCAAGCAATGTATATAACAACCAACCTCCAATTATCCAATTTTCAGAAATAATATATGAAACCATGGGCAGCATTTGTTAGGCACTTACTGTACCTTTGAGATTTGGCGGTCAGTGTTCTGTTACAGGGACACAAAACCAGCAGGGAGCAGCCAGGGGTCCACACGCTAGGGCTAGGCAGGCCCTAAAGACGCTACTCAGTTCCCAGAGACGTAGGCTGGGAGAGAGCCGTTAGATAAAGATACAAACATACCACCTGGCACAGTGGCTCATACCTGTAATCCCAGCACTTCGGGAGGCCGAGGTGGGTGGATCACCTGAGGTCAGGAATTTGAGACAAGCCTGACCAACATGATGAAAGCCCATCTCTACTAAACTACAA